GGGCAAAAGAAGGGGCACAATTATCCACATAATTAAAGTTAGATCTCTATATAGTTAGTCTAATGCCTGACTGAGAAGTGCAGTTTTCCATGGCTCAGCATGTTCATTGGCCATCTGCAGCAATCATCTTCTCCATTATCAAAGTAATACAGGCTGAACAGAGCCAACCACACCAACACCAGTGACCATTCTCCACACTTTCAGGGATGCCCCTGATATGCCCCTTCTGGATGCCTGGCAGGACTAGCTGCACTCCCAAGAACCAAGTAAAAACCAGTGAGTGGGAGAATAAACTTTCATGCAAAGGGGGTGAATTGAAAATCTTTGGAAATCTGCTAGAAGACAGAAGATGGCCATTATCAAGTTTCTCTAACACTTGATAGCAAAATTACTCATAGCAGAGAAAGCTGTGAAACACTGGTTAGCCGTTACAATCCAGACATGATTCACTAAACAAATCATTAATAAGGCTACACACCTTTTCTACTCACAATCTCCAAACACCAAAACAAATCTCAAATATAGTCCTGTATAATTAATTCACTTTGCTTATGTTCTATCCCAACAATTCTTTTTAAAGTATACCTCCCCTGGAAAAAGACACGTATTTCTGCTTTTCACTACAAAGGCATTCATTGTTTCCCCAGCTTGCTGCTGCTACTCTACGTTTCACAGACCTCTTCCTCCAAACACTGGCAGAGTATTAGTGAATGTTTCTTTTGTATCTCCTTACACTTTGAATTTAATTTCAGCTATTGTGGGCAAAATTAAAATTAAAGCAAAAGCCAGCCAGAAGCAGCCCATTCCTTCTTCTGGAATCAGCTCTTCAGCCTCTGAATTGGGGAATGAAAGGAAGAATGTACTTTCCTGAAGGATAAGTAAGCCTTATAGGAAACCAGACAGGCATTGGTAAGGGAAGCAGGTTAAGACAGAATGGCACAAATGCAAGGGCACAAGGGCAGAATACATATTGAAATAAACAAGCCAATTTTGAATTATTGACAGATACCTAGAGTAGAACTGTCAGAACAGAATTTGAGATGTTGCTCACACTGTAGATTTTCCAACAGAAATCCTACCTTTACCCAGGGGCACTGTCTCAGTCAGGTCAGAAGGATTTTCTCAGTGGCATTCCGGGTGTGGATGAATTTGTTCACATTAGAAAATGCCTTCAGGAGTGGGCTCTTTCCTTGCAGCTATGCTATAATGTATTAATAGGGGCATGGTTTTCCTTTAGATGGTTATTCGGGAGAATGGGTGAGTTTTCCTTTTAAATTTATGTTTCTTTTAATGACAGTTCTGTTTGTGCTGTAATCTTCGCTGCAGGCTAAATTTTCTTGACTCCTGCATTGTATCCCAGTGACATCCCCTCTCACTATTCAGGAGTAATCTCATTCCTTTCCTAAGAGATTTGCAAGACGTTTTTTTGTATGTCAGAGGAAGGAGGGAGATTATGGTTCCTTTTCTTGTATCAGTTATTTTATGAATCTACTGATTTCAGTCGATGTGACCTTGAGGAGGTCTCATTCCTCCTAAGATGTCACAGAAGCACAGCAATTGTACAGAGAAACTGGGCAGCCATTTTCTACACAGGGTCATTAGGTGAACTGATCCACAGCAGCTTTCAAACCAGTGTCATAAGCACAAAGCCACGATGGTGGGGGCACTGGTTTGGTGCTTTTTGTGTGTTCTCCTGGGATGCACAGCCACAGGATGCAGCACTTGCTATAATCTGCATTTATCTCCATACACTTTCACTGGTTTCAGTCTTTTTGTAGGACAATGCAAGACACACTGCATGACTATGCTTAGGCTACATTTTTCAGCCTAGGCTCTGCAGAAAATACAGGCGATCAAAATATTCTTTGAGAATATATCATATGGCTTAATATTAGGCAAGCATTTGTATGTGTTAACACTGATGGTACTAATAAGCCAGTGACCTTAAAGATAACCTTCTAAGGCTGAGATGTACTTATCTCATGTGCACAAATATGAGATCACATTTCTGACAGGTAATGAAGTACAGTATGAGAAAGCTTCTGAGTTTCAGAGTTTTAACTTCCTTCTCTCCAACAACTTCCTTATCTTTGTGTATTTTTGTCAGATCGACTGCTTTGCACATGAGTAGAAACAAAAAGCTTTCCTCTGCTGAGCTTAGAATCTTTATTAATGAGTATCACATGCTTTCAATCGTTGGCCAGGATTTTTTCACCAGAGTTCAGAGTGGTATTATCAGGTACCAGGGCTATCATACCAATCTCTTATGGGGGAAGACATTCAGCTAATTATAATATCACACATTTGGAATTTTCTAATTTACAGTCAAAGTAAGCAAGTAATAAATATTATGTGAAAAGACAAATAGGCTTCTCTGGCTGGCAAAGTTAATATTAAGTTAATATTATCATAGCAATTCATTCAAACAGGCTTCCCTTTGCCCTGCAGGCTCCTAGCAGCTTCATGAGGAGATGGAAGAATTACTTGAGTGATGGCAAAAAGTATTCCCTGGTGCCATTTTCACCCGTGTATTTCCTCCTGACTGTGCATTTGGTCTTGAACAGAGCAAGAAATACTTCTCTCTTGCTGTATCATTAAAGCCATCCCTTGTAAGTGATAGGCATGAAAGTATATAAAAATATTTTGCTATATGCAAAGTACAACATCCTGTTGAATATTATTTAAATATTTTGTTGGTGTCTTATAAGTTTCATGAGTAAATATTCATGTTCAACAACAGCAGTAATCGCAGAAAGAAGGTGCCCCTTCATCCATTTTCACACTGGTAGAGGGGAAGACAGTATTATTCACAATAGCTGTATGTTTTTTCCTCACAAACAGTCACAGCTCTTGTCAAAAATTATGAAATTGCTAGCAAGAAAAAAAGCATTAGCTTTCAGGCCACGGTACCACCATTTTCACTGCTTCCTTCATTGGTGTGTAATAGCACTAAGAGACAACACACAATAAAAAAGGTCACCAAGTGACCCAATTCTGCATCTGATGAATGTGGAAAAAACTTTAAACATTTTAATTTGCAGAGCTGTAGAACTGAAGCAAAAAATCCAACAATGCAAAGCTTTTTTCTCCAGCTTAGGGAGCACAGTATTTCAAATACTTAAAAGAATGCAGAATTACAGAGGGTCTCAACATGCCCTTGCTTCAAGGCTGGGCTGCTTGACACCTTCTGTATCTCTTAAAGCACTGCTATTTTAATAGCTTGTGTTCCTGGTATCTTTAAAGATCACTTGAAACAAATAGCTATTTATTCACTCATCTTCCATTTGTAGAATACAAGCCCGCTCTTCTTTTGCAATGCTAACTAGAATGAATATGGGTCACAAGCAGCTGACTTCCTAGAGATAGACTATGGTCAAACTGGAGTGCAGGGATGAAGTGGTGGGCATTTTGTAACTGACGCCTGCAAAGCAAACAGGGCAGGAGTCACAGGTTTCTTTGTGAGCAATGGTGGACATTTCCTCCCACCATTCCTTCTGCTACATTGATGTACAATAAGAATTGTAATATGGGGTTTCTGATCAAAATTGCAATGGGCTCTACTCCTTTTTAACAGCTCTTCTTCAAGAATGGTGGAACTAAAAGGATGAGAACATAAGTCCTGCAAAGACTGAATCCAGAATGCAGGTCACTCTCTTGATGATGTCATACCATCTTTACAGACTAATGGGTGTCCTGCAGGAATTCTCTGCACACAGAAAGCAAACACACTGTTTTGAGTTTTTTGCTTGTCACAAATCTCAGAAGACAGACTCTAAGGTGTACACAGACAGGAGTCAGAGAGCTCACAATAGAAATCTGGGGCAATAGGGTTTGCAAAAAGTAGGACAACCACTTTCTACCCACAGCACCTGGCATTTTGAAGGGACAGTCTTCAACAAGGAGCTCCCAGTAAGAACCACGAGCATAGTGTCAAAAGGTGAGGGCTGAGCTGCTGCATAAATAGCAGGCATTAATTATGGCCCCAGACACCTCTGGGATTGCTCCCATCACTGCTTATCAAAATGGTTCTACAGAATTTGCTATTTCAAACCTCCTCTTTTTCTTTTTTTTTTTTTTTTTTTTAAAATATCTGGGACATTAAGCTTCCTGAAAATGAGCAGACATTAAGAAAAATTCCTCACTGTAAGGGTGGTGAGACACTGGAACAGGTTGTGGAAAATTCCACAGGGAAGTTGTGGATGCCCACTTCCTGGAATTGTTCAAGGCCAGATTGAACAGGGCTTTGAGCAACCTGCTATAGTGGGAAGTGTCCCTGTCTGAGGAGGGGACCCCTGGCAGGGGAGTTGGAACTAGATGATCTTCAAAGTTCCTTTCAACCCCAACCAAAACTATAATTCTATGATTTCTGAAGAAGCTTTAAGAGAGGAAGTTCCAGTTTCTAGTCTCTTCTGACTGGTCATGAGTAAAGACCTTGGAATTTCACCCTGAGGGAAGAGCTTAGAATAGGTGACAATGTTATTGTATTTAGTCACTTAAACATTGTCCTAAGTAAACAATCATGCACCTCTCAGGGACAGCTTGTGAGCTACTTAAAGCACTTCATGCTTGTCTGCACAGAAAACAGTACCTGTTATTTGCTTTTTAGTCTCTATATCCCTGGTGTGGCGGAGCAGGCGGAGCAAGAGTGGGATCCCTTTCTGCTCTGACACTTCCAGTTTGTTGTCATTATCCTCATATACCAAGTTTCTCAGAGCACCACACACTGCCCGCTGAATGTCCTCGTTCTGAACATCAAGAAGCTGTAAAAGTCTGGAGATACCACCAAGTGAGAAAACCTGTGAGGAAAACAAAGTACAGCTGAGAATAGCTAAATTCTGTAAATTACAAACTCTACCCTCTCCCCCAGCAAACCATTAATAAGGACATGTAAATTTGCTCCTATTTGAAAGACTTGAAACATAGCTCATTAATCATTTGGACATGACTGCTAACTTCTGGGTGTTCATATGAACCATAGTTAAAATCCACAACTAAGGGAGGCATCATATTTTAATAATTAATGTAAGAGAATGAAACTAAATCTCTTTCAGCTTTGCTGAAGATTTGTACTCTCTGACAAGATGTTTAATTGTTCTGTACTTTTGCTTCCATGTTGGTGAAATGGATATTTGAGACTTAAATATGTAACATTTATAAACTGCTTTGAGATTTCCACATGTAAAAGGTTCCTGATGTCCCAAGTTTGTGATTTGTTTTGTTTTTTTTCTCAGCAGCCAGCCTGATGGAAAGACAGTATTGTTCTCTGTTAACTTCTGTGTATGTGTTGAAAGTGTATTCAATAAGAATACTTTATACTTAGTACTTCTTATCAGTGACATACTGAGAAAAAAAACAGTACACTAGTAAACTTAAAAATGTAGACCATTAAACATTGTAATCTAGTTAACTACTGAACCTCCTATATTTGAAAAAGACTACTTTTCAGTGCCTAATTCTTTAGAAAATGAGGTTTTGGCCTGAATGAATGAATAATAAGAAGATATTATTTTACAGCAGCAGGATGGAAACAAATTTTCCAAGTTCTACATGTTGTGGCAAATGATGAATCCCGTATAAACTGTGATGTGACATAAGCAAGCCTTGGCTCATCTAGGAATGAGTTTACTACAGAAAATAACTTACATTCATGTACAATTGAGGACAGTGCTTTGGCATCTCAAAATGTGATATAGTTTTGTGGACAAACTCATCTTTGTGTAGAATCAACAGTGTGTGAAAGACATAGATATCTGATACAACTGTTTTGAGTAGTCCAGAGTTCAGTGATGAAAAGAATTCAATACAACCAACGGGTGTTGGCAAGACAAAGAAATAATACATGGAAAAACCTTTTGCCTTTCATGCCACAGCAAACTACACTACTTGTCTGCCTTTCCTCTGATTCTGTTGTACAAAAGGCACAGTTTCTTGCTGCTGCACTGCTTACCTGATTCCTCCTGATTCAACAATCATCTAGATGCTAACAGAATGAAATATAGAAATACATATTTTGAAGTGGAGCATAGAACATGCTGAAGGCACACTGACCTATTTTATTACAGTAGATAAGCCCTTTTGACACCAATACTGTAGCTGGTTAGTTTAAAAAAAAAAATAAAATGCAGACTTCCTGTTGGTAATCTTAAGGGATTTATATTTCTTGTAAAAGAAGTGGTATTATTTCAACCTAATGTGCAGATAATTTATGAGATCTATTGATTGGTCTGTTTGAATTGTCATCAGCAGACAAAATTCACCAAAATACTGTAAGACCACAGGTTCATAGGAAAAAGAATAGCCACTAGACCTATCTGTCAACTATCTGGGAACAAAGCATTGGGAGACACAGAAAAGGAATGCAGGCTGAAAGGCTAAAAAGGGGAAACAGGACAATGTCAACGTGAACAAGCCTGATGGGCACCAGACAGAAAAACTCAGCCAAGATATGTGGGATAGACAGGAAAACAGAAGAAGTTTTCAGGCTGACTGCTCCAATTTTCAACTCTTCTATTCATCCACTTGTTTTTCAGGGAAGCTGCCTAAAAGAGGTCTGAGTAATAAATGACCTTCAAACATTCAGTTCTGAAGCTCTGTCCTCAGGCTGAAGTTAAGGCTCCTAATAGAGAGAAGTGTAAGGTATGGGAACACATAAGCCAGAAAGTGCAGTCCAGACTGGGATCCACCTGGCTGGAGGGCAGCCCTGTTGAAAGAGACCTGGGGGTCTTGGTGGATAACAGGCTCACCATGAGTGAACAGTGTGCTGCAGCAGCAAATAAAGCCAACATGATGCTGGGCTGCATCAACAAGGGCATCACCAGCAGAGACAGAGAAGTCACCATCCCGCTCTACTTGGCACCTGTCAAACCACACCTAGAGTATAGTGTTCAGTTTTTGTACCTGCTCTACAAAAAGGATGCAGACAGGATGGAGAGGGTTCCGAGGAGGGCCACAAGGATGATCAGAGGACTGGAGGACCTGCCATATGAGGAGAGGCTGAGAAAACTGGGTTTGTTCAGCCTTGAGAAAAGAAGGCTTCGGGGAGACTTCATTACCATGTGCTGGTACTTAAAGGGTGGCTACCAAGAAGATGGAGACTCCCTATTTACAAGGAGTCACATGGAAAAAACAAGGGGTAATGGGCACAAGTTGCTCCTCGGGAGATTCCAGTTGGACACAAGAGGTAAATTTTTCACCATGAAGACAGCCAAACACTGGAATGGTCTCCCAAGGGAAGTGGCAGAGTCTCCTACATTGGACAGTTTTAAGTCTCAGCTTGACAGGGTGCTGAGCCATCTCATATAAACTACAGCATTACCTAAAAAGGTTGGACCAGATGATACTTGAGGTCTCTTCCAACCTGGCATTCTATGATTCTATGAATTTCACTGGTGTTCTGTTTTTCAAAAACAGGCTTTGTGAAGCAACTTAAAACTACCAAAAGACTGAGTGATATTTGGCTGTCACTGAGCTGGACTGCATACATTAATTTGGAGTTAAGGCTGAGATTACGTATGAATAATTGCAAGCAAATGACAGGACAAAGCAGGTGTAAGAATGTTTTTTTTTAAATGATTGAAGTTAATAACCACCTTACACATTACTGTACAGAAATGTTCAGCAAGAGAGCCATAATTATGCTCAATAGTGAAATTTAAAGAAAAGGAAGAAGAGAATATTTTTAATATGCCTTTTTCTGTTGCAAGACACTTAACAAGCTTGCTTAATCCAAACAATGTATTAATGCATTTCTGTAGTCCCAACAAGTCCTTACTAGTTTGGCTAATCTAAACAATATATTAACGCATTCATGCAGTCCTAGCAAACTCTGAAGCTCCTATAAATTTGCACTGTACTCCCAAAGATTATTTTTCTGGGATATTTCTGTATCAATGAGAGACAGGATCAATTACACTGACAAAAAGTCCAGATTCTGTGACTTACTCATAGAGGCTAAAAGAACTATGTTCATTTAGCCTGGAAAAGAGGAGACTAAATAAGTATACACTTAACAGCCATAACACATATGAAAAAAACATTACAAAAGGGAAAGAAAATAGACATTTTGTCCATATCCATCAAGATAGGACAGAAACTAACCAACTTAGTTTGCAAAAGAGAGATTTAACTTATACTTTAGGAATAACTGATTAGAGAAGTAAAGCTCTTTGCCTACAGGAGCTTGTAGGATCCTAATTGATGTGACTTTTCAAAAGTTGATCATAAATGTCTGTAATTACAGACAGTTTGGGTGAATTCTTGATGTCCCTTCTTACCCTACACTTCCATGTTTCCTATCACAAAATCCTGAAGGCCAAAAACTTTCTAGCATAGACCACTACTTTTCTGTTGATTTAAAAGAATCCAGACCAAAAGCATCAACATACTTTAGATAAAATACTCAACATCAGTATCCTACAAGGATTTTTTTCATGTTGGCACACAGTGCCATACAGTATAGAAAGTTATTTGCCCTGCCTTATTCTAGCTCACATAAAAATAATTACTTACTTTTCTTCTGGCATCTGCTTTCTGGAAGCACTCATGCTGTATGAAAGTCACTGCAGCAAGAATCCTAGGTGTGGACTGTGTATTTTCACTCTTCAGTATGCTCACTGCACGCTCCAGAGTCATCTCCCCTTCTGGGCTCCTTAAAAGTACAGGCAGAGGAAATATAGTGAAGTGTGAATGCAGAAAAATCATCATTTAGTCTGTGAAATTCCTTATAATATCAAGATTTTTGTATTTTTCAAGTAACTTCAGACTTTCTTAGAAAAATATTTCCTTTCCAGTTGCTGAAAATACTATAAAAGCTTTAAGAGATGCTAATATTCTGTCTGGGGGGAGAGACAATCATAAATGGAAATGCTGCCACAATGAGAGGCTCTGGGCAAAGCAAGTCATGCTTCAAATTATAAAAGCATAATGGGAACAACAGTGGATAAAACACTAAGATCTAAACAGGGCCATAATGAAATTAGAATGTCTTTTAATAATAATGAAGATACTTCTATGTTTTTCTCAGTAATGTGACGATTGCTTTTTAATATTTGTTTTCAAGCCTTTCTTGTTTCTCAGTTCCCAGACTACCTATAAGCAGGGCTCAGTACCTGCTTTTTTCAAGCTTATTGAAGTTGTTCTAAATTGAAACAGATGGGCAAAGCCTTTTTTCCAGACAAAATAGAAATACTACTCAGTTAAATCAAATATCGACATCGCCTGTGGCAGAATTAAAAAGATGCATGGACACTTTCCTCCCAACTTCCAGCATGTTTGCTTGAATTATAATTGTGTTAGACAAGCATGTAAAAACCTGGAAAGAGAGGTCACCCGACACTTTCTTTTTTTTCCCCCAGTAAATGGAACATAAAACAATTAATGGCACAATCCGGTGCATTAACTTTGGGACAGGTGGTTATGTTCCTTGGCTTTTTTGTTTAGTTTTTGTTTCAAATACTCTCCACCTAAAGAGAAAAAAAAAATATAAAAAAAATGGACAAAATCAAAAGCATTCTATTTAAAAAAACCCCACAACATCAACCCAAATGATTTTGTAGAACCAGATCCCAGGCTGGTCAGACAGGGATGAGTGGGCAGTCTATGAACCACAGTGAAACATGTAGTCACTAGTAAGAACTCCTTACTTCAAGGCTACCAGAATCAGAATGGTTGACTTGATAATCATCTCAGTAAATGCAACTAAAAATAGAAATTTTAACACAATTACCTTTTACGTTAAAATAGGTGCCTGGGAAATAAATTTGCTTAAATTGGAATTTTGGGTTTTGTTTTTGTTTCTTTTAACTAAGCAGAAATATGAAATAATAAACAATGTTCAGAAAAGTGAAACACAGAATGTTTTGATACTCAAAAAGTATTTCTAAAGCATCTGTTCATGAACTGCACCAGGCAGAAGTTACTCAGTTCTTCAGCTCTGAGACTGTCTCAATAATGAACTGGATGGAGTGAAAGAGTGTGGAAATCCAGGCTTGCCCAGAATAGGCAGTGGAGGTACAAGAGACAAACATGGATCTTGGTGATTTTTTTCTTGCCATCTGTACTGTAAATCAACATCTGCTGCTTCCTTTTGCTAAGAGAATGAATATGGCTGCAAGGACAGCAAAAAAAACACAAAAAACTGTGATGCATCTGTTGGAAATGAAATTATACTCCTATACCCTAAGGTTTCCACCTGCCTTTATATTTGCCTTTGGTATAAATCATGTCATGTATTGTCTTCTCCCCTCCACTGAGTTACGTGTTTTGAGCAAATATACTGAATCTATAGGTGCTGAGGCACCCCTGTGCAAGACAAAGATGAAATGAAGGGGGCAGGGTGTTGAGTATGTCAATGGAGAGGTTAAATCAAAGTGAAATTAGATAGAACTATGGTTAGTATCTCTTGTGCCTTGGTTTCTGGCCTGACAATACTTACAGCTTCAAGATTTTCAGAGTTTACTTCAGCCGACATTTAAAACAAACTTGTTACTAAGTTATTCTAAGTTGCAAGTCAGACCTACTGATCAGAAATTTACTTAAAGATTGAGAACAGTGAGTAATGGAAAAAAACCAAGATCGTATTTCTTTTTCTTACTCTCTTCTAAGTGGAACAGAAAAACAGGCTTTTCAAGCTTTGGTTTAGTCAGGTTTCTGAAATCAACAAGGATTTTGTGACCATTTAATGTATGTACACACGTGAGCATGCCTACCTGCCTGTTGCTTACTGCAGTTACCTTTGGAGCCCTTTTCATTTACCTTCTCCAGAGTGGCAGACATCTCCAGTGTATTCAGTTCTGGATAAACAGCAGAGAAGGACTCTATCCATGCGCCTTCCACAGTCAAGATTGCTGCATGCATTGGTCCCTCATGGGACACCAGAGAATCTACATGGGAACTCAGCCTCAGGATGCCAAGGATGACCAGAGCAGTAAAGGTCCATCAGCAACGACTGCCAGGCTGAGAAAATGCATCTACAGCCAGAGATCAAATTTCTAAGTGCTGCGTGTGCATTGTGCTGAGTGGTAGACCTGCATTGAGACTGAGAGCAGCACACCATTCACCAGAGTTATCCTTTCATGGCTCATATACCTTCATGTGCAGTAGCTACAATCTTTCTTGCTGTGCACTGCCATACTAGGATTTCTCCTTATTGGGCAAAAAGAACATTGACTAAAGTTTTATCTGACAATAATAAAGGATCCAATATAACCTTTGACTCTCAATGTTATTAATGAAGTTGCAGCACCCTAGCTCTTGTCAAAAGAGAATTTGATGCAATGATTCCATCCTACCCTCAAAACACTTAAAAGCAGACTGAATAGTCATGTGGCTGATTAGCATGTGTAATGACAACAAGCGAACGGACATTGAGGCAATGGTTGTTAAAACAATGACTTGGTAAGTTCTGACTTCACCTTCATTTCCAGAATGCAAAATTTTGGAGATATAATACACTGAGTTGTCTAATCATTTCGTGACAGCTCTCAGCACGTTTAGAGGTCAGATTCTTAAGCAGCTGTTTCTCATACAGCTTCAGGTTGAATCCCTCTCTTTCTTAAGCCCTTCATATGAGGATGCTTTTAAGTGCTTCACTTTATCAGAAGATACAGAGATAACATTTCTACATTCTGATTTTTCTACTTCGATTTCACAGCATGAGCTAACTCTTCTACTGAAAGATAGAAAATGCTTTTCAAATACTATGCACATGTAGTCCACTTATATTTAACCTTACACATCTATTTTACAGCCTCTTAATTTATCTTGCAAAGAGGCAAATTCTGATTTACATAAAAAACTAGAATTTTCTGGAAAAATCAAATTATTCCAAAAACAGGCTTATCTTCTCTTCCCCTCAGCCCTCATCATGGAGAAACAGCTAAGGGAGCAATAAATCAGATAATGCAACCTTAAAATCAACAAGAATGGGAAATGACAAGAAATGTGAAAGTCTCTACTGACTTTTTAAACAGAGAAGTCTTGTTGGAAGAAATTGTTGTACTGCAGATGGCATGAAGGACTTTAGTGAAATATCTCTGATTTGACAGCAATCTATACCCCAAAGTAAAATGTCCTCTCTTATGTTTTAAAACTTAATTCCACATAAAACTGTGCAGCAGATGTGGACGAATTGGAACGTGAAACAATCGAAATACAACTTCTGCATCAAGTCCTTCTAGTGAAACGAATTACAAGGGCAGTTAATAAATCTGTATTTTAAATGTCTGAAAACCGTAATAATATTTGTGGATATCATACACCTTAGTACATAAGCATATATAACATATGCTGACTTCAGTCAGTTAAAATTGCTACAGTTTCTTCCTCATAATTTAAAACTCTAGTGGTGCAAGGATCTTGTGGAATTGTATCTTTCATGTTGCTTTTCACCATCTTCTTCACAAATGTATTTCAGAGACTTTTAAAAAACTTGGGTAGAATAACGAGCCTCTCACTCCCCCAGAAACCTAGCTATGAAACTAAAGCAGAAGATAGGATATTTGAAAATCTAAACAAGATACGTACAAGGTAAATTAAATAGTCAGAAGTACTATGTTAATTGAAATTTGTAAACATCTGCAAAAGGAACTTTAGAATCTTTCACAGCACTTCTAATTATATTCCTCTGTATTCTCCAGCAAAAGCTCAGCTTAAAAACTGGCATTTAAGAAATTAAGCTGTCAAAACGATTTTCACTAGGTCACAAATCTTCCACCTGGAGCTCAGCATGGTCTTAAGCAAGCCACTTGCACAATGACTGAAGAACCCATATTTACATCTGCAGTTAAATAAAACACTTTGGTTGATGTGCAGACAACCAGACTGCAGTGTCTGCACCTGCAAAAGAACCAAAACTGCTTCTAGACAAAATTAAATATCAAAATTGCTGGTTCAGAAGCGCACTCAAAAATACGCTTAAAGTTAAGTAAATTATTAAGTCAGTGGAATATATGCCTGTTTGTAAATTGTCTTCCTGAGAAATGAAGTCCTCCCAGGTCCCTATTTTCAACATTACTACTTCAAAATCTTCAGTTGCTATGAGCTCTCAGCTCTCATTTTTTCTGGATGTACTTAAAAGACTGAATATTTGAGAGTCACATAATTAATACCAGATCTCTTAATGCCTGCCTCATCCAGAGGTGAAAATTTTGATCAAGATCATATATGGGCACAAGACCATATATATTTGTAAATCTAGTCATAATGCACAACATGTAGTTGAGGACAGAAAATACAGGATCTGTACATATCAGTGACATCAGATGGTGCCTCATCTCACACAGCAGCAAATGTAGAAAAAGAAGATGGCCTTCAGAAAAATGAACTTAAGAGCTACACAGTTATTGAAAAAGAGAGGGTTCTTAGTGACATGGTTATAATTTACTTACTATGATTAACTTACACAAGAAACTTTGGAATCCTACTGAAACTGGAAACCACAGTAAACAGTGCAAGTATCTGTATCCTGTTTACCAAGTATTTTGTTCTGTCCATTAAACTGTAAGAGATCTCAAAACATTCAGAGTTCTACTAAAATGAAAAAAAATGCACTCTTGAAGGGAATTTCAGAACCAATAGATTTTCTCTTTTGAAAATGAGCCCATTTCAGACAGTCCAAAATCTTTTCTGGAATGGAATTTCAGGGGGAAAATAAACAGTCTTGAAAAAAAAACAACCCCAAATGCTTCTAAGATTTTAAACAATATTCCTGAAGTCTGGAATTCAAATTAAGATAGTGTCCTCAGAGCAGGCAGGATCTCATGGTAGTGAGAAGCTCTGGGGTCCTGAGATTCAGAGCAGTTTATACTTGTTCTAGGGATGGATGGGTGCCATAGAGCTATGAGAAAATTCTGCCTGAGGTGTATAAAACCTAAAAATTTTCCCTGAAACCATGAAGAATTTTTAACTTGAAATTGTCAATCTGTCAAAAGCTGCTGATTTCTGACCTATTTTTGTGAGAATCAGTGCTGAAATCATCCAGTCTTATGAGCAAATAAAATTGCCAATGTATTATTGTGCATTGAGACTTAGGTTGTAAATTATTCAGTGACTAATTCATGTCTTCTTACCAAAATGATCTGCTCTTGGCAAAAGGAAGTCCCAAACCTGAGCAGGAGGGGTGGATCCTGGAGTATGAACATTCACATACAAGTTCGTTTTCTTCCTTACCTCTGTTGCACTGGAAATGGAATTTTAAAAGCAAATCTACTTTCTGCATCCTCTGCACTAACAATTCTTACACT